TTGAAAAAAAAAAAAAAAAAAAACTCTATGATTTTTGCCGGATTATATTATTGAAATATTATTATAGAATTTTTAAGAAAAAAATAGTGATGGGATATTGTATAAGGAAAATGATTGTATTTGTTTTAAAATAAGTGCCACATAATTTTTTAATAAATAAATACATCACTAATTTTAAAGTATATTTAATAGTTTTTAATCACATCTTAATACAATTAGATCTTGATATAGTGACATAATTTTTTTAATTGAAAAAAATTATATATATATTTTAAAATATATATATAAGCAAATTTGATGACTTCTAACTCTTTTCAAATAGAAATTATAACAGGATATTCTTATGTAGTTTTTTTTTTTTTTTTTTTAAGTTTGATTTATGGAAATGATTGGGTTTGATGAGTTAAATCAGGCATGAATCTCGAAATATATTTAAATCGTAAAATTTATAAATTAAATTTGGGATCATCCGAACATCGATCTTAGCAAACTTATAATCAAATTAAACGTCTTGACAAGAGGAACTCAATGAGATTAAAGTCGGCATAAACTCCAAATAGGCTCGAATCAAAGAACTGAAATATATTTAGAAGCATCAAAGCATTAATTGGGTAACCAAATAATCTCCAATTATGACATGCTTATAGTCAAATCGAGCGACTTGATGAGACTAATCCAACGAGCCTAAGATTACTTAATTATGACAACATTAGGGTATTTAAAGGCTTGATGAAAACTCCATGATCAAAGAAATCAATATGAACTATTTGATGGAGCACTCAAAATTTGTCATAGATTTTCTCTATATATATATGAAGTATGTAACTCCCAAAAACTTATAAATAGACTCTCATTTTTCACATGAGAGGGAGGAGGAAGAAGGAGAAAGATAGCTATAGATTTAACTCTCTTATATTTTTCATCCATTTTCACCAATGAGCCCCTCCTACTATCGCCGCCGACAATCATGATCGCCACCGACGACTAGCATCATAAATCACTACTATCTTCATAATATTGACAAAATTTAACCTTGTTATTTGTTATATTTTTCCTCCTCTAGACATCTACTTTCTATATTCCCAGTTGGGAAAATTAATCCCTATTATAATTAGATGTAGACTATCCCATTTGTGGACGCTTGATCTTTGTACTCTCCCTCTTTATATATAGTAAAGAAAGAAGGGTCTATGTATCGCTTACTATATAGTGAATTTTGCAATTAGGTCAGGCCCCATGTTTTTTTTTTTTCTTTATGGGTTTTCCACGTAAAAAATTCTCTAGTCCCACTACTTTCATTTGTACTTGTTGAATCTTTAAATGTGAAACGCATACTCTGCCGACTCAAATTTTCTAGCATGCAACATGATTATTAAGCCAACTTTAATCGTAAGGACTTTAATAATTATTAAATCTATTTTAAAATAAATGAAATATAATTGTTATTTGTTACTTAACTATCATATATTATATTTAATTTTCCTCACCTGCAGCCTCCACCCACCGCTACATGCCCACGTCGTCCACTGCCAATCACCACTATGATCATGGCCTACTACTCATGACTGTCGGCCACCACAGCTAACAACCACCACCACAGCTAGCAGCCACCACCAATGGCTGGCATAATGGTATTGCTAGAAGAAATATTCATTAAAGTTTGATCATGATGATGTAAGATCCATTATTTTTTATCACTTTTTTTCCTTTCAATTAGTTGGAAAAATACGTTTATCATTTCAAAATTACCATTTCTAAAAGGTAATATCACAATTTAATTCTTCATTGAATAATATTATTAGAACATAAAGATATGTTATGTTTGTTGTAAATATAAATATGCTTATATCTATTGTTGAGGTGGCAGCCACTCATTGGCTTATAAGTATTTGTGTCATTCCTCATCTCTATATATAGTGATCCCTCTGTATTCAGCAACACATAATAGAGTTTACTGTTCTTCTTCTTTGTGTTCTTTCTTAAGCTTTCTCATCTTCTTCTTCAAGATTCCGCTTCTTCTTCTTCAAATATCATCATTCTTATGCTACTTTAACTGCAATTAGTACTCAATCATAGATTTGAGCTACATTTTGGCTATTTTTCTACCTGTTTCTTCCCTTCCTTTCCGAAGATCATCAAAAGCTCATGTAATTTCATGCCACAATTCATTTAATAAAGTCTTAAGCTTACATATTGTATCATCCCTTCTAATAAATCAGATCGATTAAAGAGAAACTCCAGTTCACAGCAAATTAAGAACAAATATTACATATTTCAAAACAGTAAGCTCCATCCTTTCCACTCCAGTTTTGTTTCCAGTGTCAGAAACAACACTCAGTTCTCAAATCACATTCAAACAAATCTTAAATACATTAACAATCAGACTAATCAACGATGGTTAAGTGAGCTGCATTTGGTCCTGATCTCCCCCTCATCACCTGTAAGAACTTGAACATTCCCCAGATTAGTCATAGACACAGAAAATTGCTGATAGAAGAGCATTGGCTGAGCTGATAGAGCAGAAACGATAGGTGAAGTCCTCGAATCAGAGTTGAGAAGTTGATCAGTGGACAGTAAACCCATTTTTCTCTGCAAGTTATTGTAGTAAACTGAATCAAATTTCTTAGGTGTGGATCCATCGAGCTCTACATATTCTGAAGCCCATCTGCATTTCCTTTTTAAAAAGTTCAAGTAATGTGCTTCAATGGAGGGATCTGGTTTTTTGGTGCCTTTGAAGTTGTACAATCTGTCCTGGATTGAGCTGCAAGTGCTCCTTCCAATGGTATGGGCACCTAAATTTCATGGAGAGTGAGTTAGCTTCTCCTGTAATATTTGCAAAATAAATGAAAGATGATATAGAAATTTGATCCCAAGTGGATGGGATTTGATTCATGATGAGTGTATTTGATGTGACACAAGTTGTTCGTTTACGAAGAGATGGACATATCATCAAAGCTTAAAATAAGAAAGAAGTTGAAAAAATTGTAAGAACCAAAAACTAGAAGCAAAATTATCAAACAAAACTTTATTTTTATGTTTATTTATGTGTTAAATGTTGTAATAGATTATGTTATGGTGATTTTAAGTTGTAAAAGTAATTAGAAAGTGAAAGCAAAAATTCTAAATTTATGAAATTTTGAATTTTAAAATTGAAATTTTGAAATCTAAAATCTAGAAAATTGCTTGGTGTTGTTTTCAAGTGTTTTTGCCTGATTTTGATATTTTCAGTGTTCGTTTGGGACAACTTTAGTATAACTTTTTTACTGAAAAGTTGTTTTATAAAACAAGAAGAAAGCCGTTCCAAACGAAGCTTCAATCAAGTTTTAACTAAATTGTTCCAATTTAACAAAACGAATCGTAACAAAAAAAGAAAATTCAAAACATTGTCCAATCTAATTATAAACAATATGAAATCTACATACAAAAAATGACATGACAAAAGAGCTAGGTGTTCATTCACCTGAGAGGACAACAAGATCAAGCAAACTCAAACCCTTTGATTGGAAGAACTCAATGAGATAGGTCATATTCTCATGTCCCATCGGCACAAACGCAGCTTCTGAAACAAGAGATACCCTGCCATCTTTCCTGCCATATGGAACCTCCCAGAATGGCCCTCCAATCTGTTCATACCCATTTATGATTAGAGAATTCAGATAACTTGAATCTCTACAGAGCATTTTTAATTGTCTAAGAAGCATTAATAATAAAAACATAATTGAAAACTCAGATTAATTAAAAAGCTTGGAGCTTGATTAATCAGGATGGCACTTAGTTAATTAGGTTGCTAATGAGGTTTTATTACCTTAACGGTAGCCTCTCGTGCAGCTGCTGTAAGGATGTCAGCACAAGAAACAGTCTTTGGGCACTTCTTCTCGATCTCTGCCTTAATATCATCAATAACATTGAATCCTTTCAGGCTCTCGCTCTCCTTCGCCTTCCTTTCGCTTCCAGCATGGTTCAGTAAGATTGATGCGTCACATCCCTTTTCCATTAAGTTATTCGATGATTAGCAAATTTAAATTCTGAACGTAGCTCAGATTTCAAACAGAGAAAGACAAGAAGAAGAAGAAGAAGATCACCCTAACAGCACAATCATGGAAATGTAGGCGAATAATGGCAGGGCCAAGACTGGGATCACGAGCTATCCAATCTTGAATCTTCTTGTGTACAATAACCTCCATGTTTGGGCAAGTCCTGGCATAGTACCCAAATGAGAGTTCTTCTGCTCCATCCTCGAACATATCCAGGGCGGTAGCTCCTGCCATGGTAGCCATGATGAGGGGAATAAAGCAAAGGAGAAGGTGAAGGGAAAGAGAGAAACCCATTGTAAGGCAGCTCTACTCTTGGTTTTTAATTTTGGTTGATTGATATGAGCTATATTGGTCTTCTTATATATTGTGAAATGGTTGAATGTATAATGTCTGCACGTTAAGGTGATTTTGTGTGCCGTTTGTTGATTTTTTTTAAAATTTTCAGCTGTTTTATATTGGTCTTTCATCAACGTGGGATGCACTCTCTCAACTATAAGACAAGGTGCCATCCATATCTATTGAAAAAGCTTAGTCTAGCCTAATGAATTGGGATTTTTGCTACTAAGTTAGTCTTTTGTGAGATGATGGGGCAAAATAGTGCTATTGGAAATTTTAATTTGGCCTTATATATTTTTTTAATTCAAATGTTGGATTGAATATTAATTTTGTCATATTTTTGAAGAATGTAAACTAATAGCAATTCTTTAATATTGTTTTGTTGATTATGATTTGCAAATTTAATTAAAAGTTCTATTAGTTCAAAAAATATGATTAAAATCTAAATTATTTCGGTGGTAATCTTAATTTGTAAAAAATAAGCCTAAAAATTCCCAGTGTAATGAAAGAGTTGACTCTAATTATTATTTCTAAATATATATATAACTATAATTAATATTTAGTCACATTCTAAAATTAATTGTGTGTTGAAGTTAACTAAGGGTTCGATTTGGGACGACTTTCTTACTACTTCATAAAGCAGCTTTCTTGTATAAAAATTAAAATTTTTGTGTTAAAAAGTTGTTTTAAGAAGCAACAGAAAAGCCGTCCCAAACATAACTTAAATTTGAATTAATATTTGGTTTAACATACATTGTACCAAATCTAAGAGTCGTTGCATATGATCTTAATACGAAGAACAACCCCTTATTTGATTGGATTAGCATTACCTTCCATGGTTACGCTTGAACATCATGGATTGTATGAGAAATTTTTAGAGTTCATTGATCATCTTGATTTGCACCAGAGTCACACAAGGTTATCTTTGGGATATTTGTGATTTCCTTCATGAGATTCAAGCCTAAGGGTATGAATGATTATATAATAAGTGATTTTTTATAAGATTATGTGCAGGATGAGGATTTTTTTTCATAAAACTAAATAAATATTGCTTAACTTTGCAGTGAAAAGTGATGGCAAGGTAGTGTGTACTAAAGCTTTATATGTGTCAAGAGAATTTGGATGGTTACACACAAAGTTGGATAGAACAAAGTTCTTGTTTGCAACAAAAGCTGAGAGCAGATCACTGTCTACTTGATGAAATAAACCATTATAAATGTGAAATATTTGCAAGGGACCACATTACTTGAGGTTGGATGACAAAAATTTAATGAAAAAAAATATTTAACAACTATGTCAAGGATCATAAATTAATAACCAATCATCAAATAATTAAAATTCATAACAAAGTTGACCCTTTGACCAAGATTAGTCAATGCATGTGATATACTTTGATATGATTGGACTTAATAACTTAAATTGAAGAAACCAATGAACCTTAGGCCTCCCCATAAACCCAAATGTGTTCAATTGAGTCAAATTGCATTTAAACATCAAATTGTCTCAATCCATTAGATATGAAGCTACCATAAGATGACCTTGACTCAAGCTAACCCTTATGTAACTCAATTGGTTAAAGGGTTGACCAATTTTCAACAATTGGGTCAACATGGCCTGATTAGATCAAATTGGGTTGAATTGACTTAATTCAAATAAAAAACACAATTGTGCTAATATAATTATTCCAAAGTGTTGCATGAAGTCCTAAACATGATCAAGCTAAACCCAATATTTATTAGGCTAATTAATTAGGGCTAGGAATTTATTATGTGAGCTTAAATGACGACTAGACTAGCTCTAATACAGTTAAGCCAAATCAAAGAGAGTGCAATCCTTTCTTTGTCCAATCCACCTTTTGGCCTTATCTCGACCATCAACATGGCCTAACTGCCATCTACTAGCATTAGCCCATGTTGATTAACCATCATTTATTTATCAGTAAGTCACAATTTAAGGAGTAAAATAAAACTAGCTATCCCACTCTTACGCATTTATTCCCATTACCTTTATGAGCTCAATTGAGTCTCCTAGAGTTTTTCTTCACCCCCCAATAGATCTAGTAGGTTCCAATTTCCATTAAACCTCAGGTCAAGTTAATTTAGTATTGCGACCATCCCAACCCAATTCAAGAGAGGGTTCATTACTCCTCGCCTCATTGAAGGTGATGAATTAATTTCTTCTATTGAATAATCAAGCTTCGAAATTAAGATTTTGAAACCCTATCAATCTATAGGACAACTTGGCTAGTGGGAGAGTTCAAATCATAGCTAGGTGCACTAGACCCTTCCTTATGTAGCCCTAGGTCTCCTCTAACTCACACAATGAGAAATTTCTAATAACTTTCAACTCTATAGAGGGAGAACTCTTCATGGATCTCCCTCGAGCCAAGTTGACGTGAGGGTCCAGTACCCTTAAGTTATAACCTTTATCACATGAGATGTAAAATCAGTCGATCATAAGCTTCTAAATAAGATACAATTGCTAAGAATTTTCTCAGTTATTTTTTATAAGATTTTCTTATGATTCAACCATTTAATCAAATTAAATGAATTTTTTATTATATATGTATTCGAATGAGTTGAATCTAGTAAAAATAATTGCATGTAATTTTATCAATATTTCTCATGTTTAAATATAATTTAAGCTATATTTTAATTTAATTAATGTTTTAATGATCTTCAAATTTTTAAAATTTTGTTCATATGATAAGGATACTTGCATGTGCAGACCAAAAGAATTTCATGCCATGGGGATATCTATATTGCAAGATATGATTTTTTTTCTTTGTGATATTTCACTATTTAAAAATCTTAGCCTTTCATGCATTAATTAGAAAATTTCATAAAATTTAAGGAGTACATGTGATATATCTATACATCTCCTCAAATTATTTTAGAATATTTGAGGTTTATTTGACAATTTAATAGTTAATTTATTAAGTTTTAATTAAGCACATTTAATAACACAAATAAATTTGTTAAAATACATAGGTGTTAAATGCATAAAAAGCAAATTTTCATAATTATTTTGAAATTTAATATGGCTTTTGCATAAGATTGATATTTTTCATATGAAAAATCATATTCATAAATTACCAAACTATCCCTATGTTAGCATATGGTCATGACATGCATTCCATAGGCTATTGGGTCCATTTCAAAGATATCCCTAATTTTTATATAATTATTTAAGGCCATTCCTTAATTTTCATAATTAAACTACCTATTATCTCAATTATTAATTATAGGAAAATGCTCCAAATATCCTTGTTAAGTATGTGCATTTGCATTTTTTTTTAATTAAGATGCATGTTTTTCTACTTTTTAAGGAAGAAAAACACATTTTCCTATCTTATATAAGATAGAAACCATTATGAAAATTAATTGCAAAGCCTATTGTCAATGTTCATTTAGTATAGGTATTTACTTCAAAAAACATTTAGGATTGAATTGAACATTCTCATTTATTTGAATTTTGCACTTTTATTTTGATTTTTTTTTTTAATAATTGTATTAATTTAATCAATCATAGCTTAATTTTAGTTTTCCAAAGCCATTGGTCAAATATTACACATCCTCAAAATATTTTGGAAATTTATTGATTTATCTTTCATAAGTTTCACCCTTATGTGATATGAAAAATATTAAATAATTCTTAAAAACACCTTAAATATTGAAGAATATTTCTTAACTTGTTTAAGCAATTTTAAAATATTACTTAATTCAATTTCATATTGAATTGGCTAATTAGCTAATTTTTTTTTAATTATTTCCAATATTTCATTAATTATTCACTTAATTAAGAAGATTAGAATTCGACCTTTAACTTTCACTTTGACATCCACTTGAGGTTGACTTTTCAAAATTTCAAAATTTAAATTTTATAAAACTAGTATTAATTAAAAAAATACTTTTACTATTTTAAATATTTGAAAATTTAATATTTCATAAATTTGAATTTTTCCTATAAGTTTTCAAAATTATTTTAAGAAATTCAAAATTTTAAAATCTTTTTTTATTTGATTTGCTTAAATTTATTCATAATAAAATTCCAAGCTAAAATACTATGATCACACTTGTGTGATATTTTGGTCAAGCCATGTTAACCTTAGGTTGACCTTAAGTTAGACATATGATCAAGAAGAAGTTTATTGAATTTGATCATAACTTAAAGCCAAAGTTAATCATTCTAGATGTAAAGAGGGACTATTGTATTAATACATCTTAAAAAAAAAAAAATCTTAGTAATCTTGTGAACAAGCTATCATTTAGCTTGATAATGCCCTGAGCAACCTAAAACTTACGTAAGAGAGTCCCTTGAAGTAGCATTTCATAAGTTACCATGTTATTTGATTATGGGGCGGTTTAGTTGGATTATATAATGGTGTAAAGTATTTCAAATGTATGTATTTTGAAATTTTTGATATTTCATTTGATGAAAAATAAATGCAAAGTAAAATAAAGTAAATATAATGCAAAGCATTCTAGTTTATTTTTTAGGTAAATCAAACTCGCCCATTTTTTGAGCCAGAACGGTTTACACCGTAGCCAAACTCGCTTGAGCCCCTCCAACCGTTGCTGGCCACCCCCTCCGGCCACCTCCATTTGCCTCAAGCCACCACCGCTAGCCATCGCCACCATCGCTAATTGCCACTACCACCTACTCGCCGGCCACCACTGTTGGCATTGCCTTCAGCACTTGTTGCAAGCCATCGACCAACATCACCGCCGATCGCTGCCACCAATGATCAAGGCTCCGCTAGATTAAAGCTCGTTCGTGATCGTTTAATAACTTAGTCAAACAAGCTTGAACATTTTCTTAAATACTGTTCATGAACAACATCGTTTGAAACTCGTGAACATACTCGATAAGAAGCTTGATAGGAGTTCGATATAAATTATAAATATCCAGAATTATTATTATATTATTTTGTATAATTTAATAAAACTATTTTTATTTTCTTGTAATACATATTATTTTGATTTCCTATATTATTTCAATTACTCAACTATTTGGCTCGGTTCATGTGACATGAAAGCATGAAGAAGGAACGAGAGATGAGAAATTCACTATGGGAGAGAAGAAGAGAAAAGAAGCTGTGTATGAACCTTGTTGGCAAGGAGCAATTATTACGTCAGGTCACCGGACGCGTCCAGAGATCAATAATCACGCGCCACGTCATCTGAAACTCGGTATTGCTCAGTATACGTTCGGATTTCCGGTTTTTTGTCCGGACGTAATAATTATTCGTTGGCGAGGGCAATATGATTGATGATGTATGAAAGATGAATTAAGTATTAGAATATATTAGAGAAGATGAGGAGGGAGCAGTTTTGATGCTATTTAAAATTTTGAATGTTATTTGAATATGAAAAATTTGGGGGTTATGTATATAATTTATTTTTTATAATTTAAACATATGATTATAAATTAATAAAATTAGTACTAGTTTTTAAAAGGTAGTATGGATTACTTTATGCTTAAAAAATAATACCTGCACCGGTCTAGCTTTCAATGCTGGCTCGAACCGTTTAAAATCGCCCAGGCCGAGCGTACTCATCTGACACCATCGACGTTTCTTTACGAAAACAAATCGAAAAATACAAGTAAATGAACGGGAAGGGGAAAGAGGGGAGAGATCTGCAAACAGAATCTCTTGCTAGCTCTCTCTCTTCCCTCAAATTCCTGACTCAATTGACCACAAAAGCTTTAGGGCTAATTTCTCTCTTGTCTGGAGCATTCCATCTGCCGGTTGTAGGAGGTTTTATGGTGTATTTTGGGCATTATATGATTTGATTGGATAAATTATCCAGAATCGCTAGCTTCTTCCCTCTCTTCCCTTCTGCAACCTTATTTCCGGCGTCGAGTTTCTTCACCGGACGACCACGCAGCTGCGAGAGGCGGAAACCTCGATTTGATCCTAACCGGTTGTGGTTACTTGAAGGAAATCGGGCAGGATTAGCTACTTCACATGGCTTCGGCGCAGGTCCTGACCAATTCCGCTACTTCTTCGCGCAAGCAGGGACATCTTGAAGCAGGAAAGAAAAAGGTGCAACTGCTTACGTCTAACTATTTGTTTTAATATTTCTGAGGTTTCCCTTCTTTAGGTATTATTCTACGAGCCTTAATTTGGAACAGTAGGTTTTAATCTTGTTTGATCTATATGATATTTACAAGAAACGTTTGTGATTGGGCTTGATAGGAAAGGGATGTGATTGGGTTTTGTTCTACATACCTTTATATATACGCACATTAGAATGGGATAAAACAAGTATTGGAGACCGTACGCTGATATTTGAATACGTAGAATCATACATTTGCATAAAGCTGCGTCCATATCGAAATTTATTTATGTATGCTCTTGCACATTCTTTTGCACAGACATATGCGATCATTCATCCTTTATTTTAAATATATTTGGAAGCAAACAAAGTATATTCACATGTTCTTATGTAATAACTTCATGCATATGTCCACATATCATGTGCTTTTGCGTAAATAAAAAACTTAATAAATGCTAATCATCTTGTAATAACTTCATGCATTTTAAATATATTTGACAAGTTTTAGTTTTGGATATTGAACCCTTTTGTAGAATTCGTGCTTCATAGAACTCCAAAATAATGGCTAATTGTAACTTCTTCTTCATATATTCACCACTTCTCCTTAATCAAGTCAAGCTTGCTTTAGAGTAGTACATTGTTTGATGCAATAATTTGTGTAGAAATGCAACTGCCAAAATCTTGCTTTTATCTTTTCCTCTCCTTAAAAATTTTGTGTAAGGTAAATGTTATTTTTCCCCAATTTCATTTTCACATCAGCAGTTTGAGGTGATGATATAGTTCTAGCGGGAATTGGGAAATATGGGGGTTTCAAGCTGTAGAATTAAGAGAAAACTTTGATTACCAAAAAATAAGATCAATTGAGTATTTGGGATATACAAATTTGATAGCTATGAAGTATGACAATGATTAATGAATGGTGGCAAATGGGCAAGTGATAACACGTTAATTTTGAGTTCTTATCGTAAAATTAGGAAAATGTTTTAAACTATCAGGAAACAATGAAGCTTTAACATGATTTATTCATAAAAACAAATTAGGTAAACACATACTTAGTTGGGGTATTCACATGCTCATATGTGTTTTATGTGGATTCAATTATCATCATAACAAGTTTCACTTGATTGAAATGCCTCAATAATTGTATTGGCCCCTTTGGTGCTGTAGAAATTAGAATGATAAGATGGTTTTCGAAGTGTGCTATAAAAATTCAAGTTCAAGCTACTAATAAAAAATATATCCGAATAATAATATATGTGCATAGAAGCAATGGCATTCATCAGAACCATCTTTAACGTAAATACTTTTTCCCCATTGTGTCCTATTAAGGGTTAAATTCTAATTTAAATTTAATAAAAAAGATCATTTTTAATAATTTCTAACCAAGTCTTTTTAGGTCTACCTTTAGGTCCTTTCTCTTTCATTGTCGACCATCTCATGCTGTAGCCCCTTATGCAAAAGAAATAAGATGGTTTTGAATGCTAAGTTCAAAAAAGTATTAATATTTTGTTAGATCTCTAAGTTCGAATAGAAGTTAAAATTGGTTTGAAAAATGGTTATACACAATATGATGTTTTAATTGACGTTCGAGTTAGATTTAAACTCACAATAATGTATTTGAATCGGGTCATTGGAAGGTCGACGTTTTATGTGACCAAACCATCTAAGGCAACTCTCTCTAATCTTATCTATCACTAGAGCTACTCCAACTTTTTGCGTACATACTCGTTTCACATTCTATTTTGAAGAGTAAAACCACTCATCCACCTGAGCATCCTCATCTCTGCAATACTCAATTTAATTTTATGCTTCTCTTTTAATGGCCAACATTTAACACTATAAAACATTGCATGTCCCACCACCATTTTATAGAATTTTCCTTTAAGTTTGAGGGGTACTTTTATATCACACAGCAGGCTTGATACACTCCTCCACTTCTACCTTTAAACTTGAATTCTACTAATAATATTATCATCTATTTCACCATCACTTTGAACAATAGACCCGAGATACAGAGGATAAGCCAATCTCACCTTTGGATTAACCAACTTGATAGAGTCCTGTTTGCTAATTTTTTGGCCACGATATAGAATTTATGCCTCATATGACAATCATGAGAACATTTTATTTTCCACTTAACCTTCTATATAAAAGTAAAAAAGTTAACATTTTGTACCAAACAACACCCCACAACAAAAAAAATGTCATTATAGACGTAGCTTTAAGCTGCCAAAATAAGCATCACCTAGAATAATCAAATCTTGGACCTTTTTTCATTTATTTAGGGAATAGCTGTATTTAGGATTTTTTCTACCATATCTTACTCCTTTATTTTCCATTAAAAAGCTTTAGTGGTTGATGCTTGCAATCAGGTTCTATCAAATTAGTACATGAAATGATTTTAGCTCTCGCATTTTGTGATAGAAGAACATATAAAAGTGTATTATAAACAAGGGGATATTCGAGGAAGATAGTAGAAAATTTGTTGAGATTGTTTGGACATCTGAAACATAGAGTAGCAGCACTTTTTTCGTAGGGTGGAAGCAGCATTACTATTGTGGATGCAACAATTATGTAGAATATGGGCATAATTTGTTTGAATGCAATAGGATAAATTTAACATCTTAGTATTTGAAGGGAAGGTTTTAAACTCTAACACCATTTGCCTTCTTAATTTGCTTGCTAGAGAAGGTGGTCGTATGGGGTGCTGCTAATGAAGAGGAAAGCTTGATTTTTTTGTCACTGAAGGATTTAAGCATCTATTTTCTTATAAAAAATGGTTTTGAGTGTTGGGTTTATGTCTCATGAATTGTGGTAATGAGGAAACCGTAATATGTAGCTGGCATATTATTAACTTTCAGACACGTGTATAAATATATTAGATTTAAATGAGAATTTGACTTTTAATGGGGCATAATGGCGAATAAGGATTCATGTAGCCGACCTCACGTAGTGGGACAATGGCTTGATGTTGTTGTAGACACGTGTATAAATAGTTGGGCAGAATCATTGATGGAAAAGCACTATGAGTTGAGCGATAGGATACTATTTCTAGGTATAATTCTTCATGCTAATGCTTGTCCTTCATTCTCATGATTGTGGTAATCCTACAAAATTTTAGTGATTTCTAGTTAAAAAAGCACGGAGTATGCTATAATTTATTCTTTTTTGCTAGTTGGAAGAATTTCGCAGAAGGAAGGCAGAAGGAAGGGCTAAGAATGCTGGATCTACCGTACAATTGCAGTCAATTGATGGAGGAAGTAATGAAAAATTTTCTCAGAATGAGGAAAATGTGGTTGATGGAACAAATTCCAGTACGAGCACTGGTTTTTCTGGGTCCCATACAACTCCAGTGCAAAAAGAAGCATTCTCTTCTACTGATAAACACGTAATTTCCTCAAATGAAAACACTCAGATGAATAAACCATTTGAGAAGTCCAGTTACACGGGTTTCGTTAATGGTTATCATGACCACTGGCAAGTGAGAAGTGAGCTTAGTGACAATGAACAGTCCAAGTTTGAAACGACTTCTACTGCTACATCAAACCAGTTAGCTGCTTTTGATTCAGTTCGTACAAATGTTAATCCTGAAGAGAGTTCAGGAAGCTTGAGTCTCTACCCTGCTCCATTAGATGAAAGCAGGAATTCTTCGGCTCAAGTGAGTTACCTAGATACATCTAATACTACTGCTAATTTACAGAAAGCTGAGGGTGCTTCTGCAGAAAACAGGTTGGGGCTTCCCAGCACCTTACTAAGTTCATCTTCAACCTCCAAAGGTAAAAATCATCTTAATTTTCTTTGCTATAATTTTGTTGCCTTTATTTTATTAATGGATTTTTTAATTTTTTTGATCCACTTGGTGAGTAGATTCAGTACCTGTGTTGGGGGTTTATAATTCTGATAGCTTTAACAATAAAGGCCTTGTGGATACTCAAGCTGGACGGAAGACAATATCTGAATCCATTAGCCAACGCCTTAACTTAGGAAGTGCATCTTGGCATTCATCAGAAGCATCTTTAACAGACTCCAGTCTACCAATCAGAAGATCACAGGAAGCTCATTTATCTTCTTCAACTACCTATGGAGTCACTTCCAGTCGATCTCGCCCATCTTTTCTTGATACTCTTGGTGTATCTAGGGCCTCATCAACATCACATGTGCCACTTTCTGAGCTTCAGAAAGCTAACTCACCTGTTTCATTTAGTGATTCAATGGTCCAGAGTGCAGATGTTTATTTTCCTTCCCTTCAGCAGCCATTTACTAATGCAAGCAGTGTGCAACAATTTCCGAATTCCTCACCTTCAGTTTTGGTTGATAAAAATGCGAATTCTTTTGCTTCATCAAATGACATTCTAATGCTGGAGACGAGCAGGGAATATCAACAGGGGGGGCATGAGATTTTGGTTCCAAAGAAAGATGATTTTTCAGCCCTTGAACAGGTGCCTTTTTTATATTCCCCAAATGTAACTTTTTTATGGCTTCGAGAAATTTAACTTTTTCTTTCATGAAGTATACCATGGTATGTTATTCCTTTGTTTCTTAACTTATGATTTTTAGTCATTTAATTGTTGTCAACCACAACAACAGCATCAATAACATCAAGCCTTTATCCCACTATGCGGGTTCGGCTATATGAATTCTTTTTCTCCATTTAATTGATGTGAATCTGCAATTTTTTTCAAGTTATTTCACTATGTTGTTGTAGCGAAAGGTTCTGTTGGTTTCTCTCGCTATCTTAAAGAAAGTGGACTTTGTCCTTCCTATATCAATAGTTTTTGATTTAAAGGAGTGCAGATTGAAGAGAACATCTGGATGATACCCATCCTGCAATAATTGACTGTTTTTTTTTTAATTCTTTTTTATTTTATTTTATTTTATATTAGCCTGCAATAATTGACTGTGAGACAATATGTAGCTTCATGTTCGTTTATTTTTTTAAGCCATATATTGACTTTTCATCTCATCATTTTTGCTTTATAAAGTTGTGGTTCTTTGCTTTTTATGTCCAACTTTCAATAGATTAAGGAAACCAAGGGACTAAGGAATGGACGTCTTTATCTAAAGTTCAGGCTTTTGTGTGGCCTCACCATTTTTTCCACTATGCTGGCGTGTACTCTGGTTTGTGCCGTGCCCCCTTTTGTTCACTTAAACATGTACTGGTGTTGATGCATTTAGATTTTTGCATTATTTTTGTTTTGAACAATATTAGTTGTGTTTTCTATTTTTTGTTTTATTTTTATGCTATCCAATGATGGTGGTAAATCCAATGATCATGGTAGGAAAAGGTTTGGATTATGCTTACCTTGGGTTTACCAGCTTTGGGGGTCCGCCTTGTCCTTTGGGCTGTTTACTGGTTTCATGGGGGGCCTTGGCTGTTTTCGGTTGGAGCTTTAGTTGTTGATTGGCTCTGTATTTGGCTGGTTCCGTGGCCTTGTTCTACTTGGAAATGGCAGTGACTCGTGGGGTATCATGCAAGGTGACTTTTGGCCTTTCATTTCTATTATTTTTATATGGGGATTTGAAGGGTTTTTAGGCTGTTAAGATTCCCCTCTCTTGCCTATATATATATGAGATGTTTTGTGATGAAATTGGTTGGTGAATTATTGTGAGCAAAATTGCTATTGACCTGCGGGTTATTGGAAAAGCTTGCGAGCTTTGTCCGTCTTCTTTCTCATCCCCTCCGGAAATCCTGCGGGCTCTTTCCAACCTTTCTTCTCGGGCTTCTAATCTCTTCGTCTCTCCGCAAGTTCCACTCCACCTGTATCTTTCTTCTAGTTCCGTTGGTAAAGTTTGTTGGCTGTTTTAGTGGATTTGTTGGCTGTTTTGGTGGCATTTGCTGGAGGAGTTTGGTAGGACGTTGGACCCCTTTGCAGTGGTGGATCCTTTGGTTTGCATATCTAAACATTATCTGAAATATATATTCCTACAATCGTTGCATGTGAGGAGTCCTCTAGTAGGATGTTCTGAGGATAACTTTAGTTTGTTTTAGTTTGTTTCTTTTATTAACTTTCTTTTGCTTTGGCTTTGTTGGATGATCGCTTCTTTTCTATTCTGAAATTTAGTTGTTTATTTAGCCTATTTTGTTCTTCAAGTTGTGTCTTAAATTTCTAAAGAGCTAGTCTTGAATTTCTTTGTTCTCTCTTTGTGTTTTTGTTTCAAGTTGCTTACATCAGGTGTTTATTGTGTTGGTTTGGTTGGTGGGTGTCAGCCTTGGATTGCATGACTTCTTTGGGGTGCATCCTTGCTGTGGCGGGGTGTGCTAGCTGTGGATCTGTGGTTATGTTGCAATGTGTATGCCAGATGCATGGCTCACCAAAATAGTCTCATGCACGAATGATGCTCAGAAGGCTAAACAACCAAATGCTTGGGATAATGCTTATGATGAGGATGAAAATGAGAAAGTCTAAAGAACAACATTGAGTTGATCATAATCCAGGAATAGAGATTTCTGCTGAACTCCTTTATTTTTGTTTGGATGAACCGCGTTTTTGCGAGGCAGTGCTAGGCTTTAACTACTTTTGCATTGGACGCATGGGAATGTTAGGAATTATTTTGTCCGGAAGCAAGTTTGATGTTTATAATATGGTTATCATTGAAGGATTCAATGCTTATCAGTCAACTATGTCTAATAGATAAGGAATCAATGCTTATCGTTGTAGTAAACCTAAGGTAATGGGAAATTCTTGGTTTATTGCACAACTGCATCTAATACTAGTCAATATTCTATTATACATGTTTTAAATAACTTCGATATATCCTTGACATATACCTTTCTTTCTTAGGCCTACATGATTTGGTTACAAGTATTAAGAGTGTAAAGTTCAAGGTTTGTGTTTGCTTTAAATTTTTTTGGTGGTTGGTCACGAGCAGAAGAGAAGTAAAATTTTAGGGGATTTGTAGTACCTTGAAAGGCCTATTTTGCTTGTACATAAAAATTGCTTCATTAAGGAAATTTTATTTTATTTCATTTCTTATGGTGCTGACTTTGCCCTCACAATGACGTCCTTGCTCTCGCATCCCTCTCCTTATTGCGGTGCTCACAAATAGACAGTTTAGTAATGTTAAAAAGGCATGCTTTGCTCGAATTGTGATTGAATTTATTGGTTGCTAGCTGATCTTGAGATGTGGTCATATTTGCTTGCGATGGGATGGATTCTGTAGACTGTCTCCTGCTTACCCTTGTTTTCTTAGGTTTTTCTTGCACTGTGTGACTCTTGCTTTATGCCGTCTGATGTTTGAAGCCATTTTTTTGTCAGTTTGGCATGGAATGTATTACACATCCTTCAATACTTACAATTGATTGAAGCTTGAACTGCAAATAAACAGGTTAATAATGTTAGCAAGCCATGCTTTGCTTGAATCGTGTTGAATTTTTTGATTTTAAGCTTATCTTGAGATGTTTTCCTACTGCCCCACCTTTTAATGAGGCGATGAAGATGCAGTGTTGTTATGAGGATAAAACTGGTTTTGAATGATAAAAAAAAAAGACAAAGATGCAACATAACACATTTTAAACATGCTATGAACACACGTATAGTATTAGTGTTAGCAAGATACGACTTAACCAAAAAAAGTATTGCCTGAATCCTACTCAAGAAAATCAGTTTGGGTCACGTTTTGTGTGATTAAGTTGTGTTCTAGTTTTTTTGTACATATCTAGAAAAGAGTAAAGTCCAATTAGGTTGACAAATACCTGGTAACTATCCTTGGCAGCTCATTTTTACTGAAATGCAAACTTGGCCTTTCACGCAGGTTATTTTTAGTGCAGTATAGGTACTTGTTAGTGAAATTTAGGTACTGCTTGTTAGTATTGGTTCAGTTTGTTTAGTGCTTGTTAGTATTGGCTCAGTTTGCCAAAGTCAATCAATAGGCCATATGTGTTGTCATCGAAAAGGCTTAGATATACAATCATTTATTGTTTTAAGGTATGAAGATCTATTAGTTGTTTGAGTAAATGCAAATAATCAATTGGTTTGCAAATATGAATGGAATGTAAATGAAGTAATCAATGTAGTTTCAGTTCTTCATGACAATTTGTTGTAACATGCGTCTTATGGCCAGTGTATAATTGATGGATCCTGAAAATGAAAAAAATATGCATATCATAAACAGGGAAGACAGAGGTATCTATATCTTGTTTTTTCTCGAACGCTCTTGTTTTCAATCAAATTTTTCGTTCCTTGTACATTTAAGTTATTATTGATTACATTTTGTCATTGAAATCTGTCAAGTTTCCTTTCATCAGTGTTAGTTTTCTTTCTAATGCAGCACATTGAAGATTTGACACAAGAGAAGTTTACGCTTCAAAGAGCTCTTGATACATCAAGAACATTAGCAGACTCATTGGCAGCTGAAAATTCATCTTTAACAGAAACTTATAATCATCAGGTACCTTTTTCATCAAACAAATTCTGAATATTTGTAGTTAGGAATGGATCTTTGACTTCTGGATTGCTACTAGTAGCAAAGCTAGTTGATTAATGATTACTTTGTGGCATCTATTTATGCATTCTTTACCTTTTTTTTTACATATCCTACTTGAATTTATTATTGCTAATACTATATTTTCTGATGTTCCTGTGTGATTCGTATGCTATGATTTTCTAGTTATTTGAGGTTGAACATAGAAGCCTCCTGCCACATAATCAACTTATAGGTGATCACTGAGAAGTGTGAACCTTTTGGCCTAGGATCTGGAGGATAGAATAAGGAGATTATGCTAATCCATTCTATTTTGTATATTGTTAGGGTTAGTATAGCTTAACTTCCTTCTGTGGTATCTTTGCCACACCACTTGGTGATAGAGGGGTCATGGAAGGAAGACTGCTTCTGATGCTGCACTAGGTTAGCATGGAGAAAAGGGTAAGTGAAGTTGGTGTCTACCGGTGGTAAGATCAGAGCAAGGATAGGAGAGGGAGATTTAATTTGAATTCATTCATAAATTGGTCCAAGTACCAAAAAAGAATTCGCTTTATAAAAATTGGGTTATAAGATAAGATCAAATTAAAATTTGAAATCAAATATAATCCTATCTAGAATTAAATCTAATCCCATAATTCCAATTGAAATCTAAAATTATCTAAATGGATAACTCATCCTAAATTAAAAAAAATCAATCTGAAAATAGCAATAAATCTTAAATTATTAGTAAATAATCTATTCCTAATTTATTGTGCTGAATCAGTTTCATTTGCTTGTTCCAGTTGTTTAATTCAATTTATTGCCACCCAAATTTTAATGTTTAAGAAATAATAGAGAAAGAAGAGGAGTTTCATATGAATTTAGGATTCATTATTAATTTTTTTGTTATTTCTGCAACTCGTCAGGGCATTTAAGCACAGACACCTTAGCAGAATGTTAATGGTGACGTGGAAGTTCAATTGATTAGAATTGCCTTGATTCTTTTGATTTGCATTTGGTATTTATATTGTGGGTTTATGACTATTATTTTTTTAGGTGCCTAGATTTTATAGAAATATATGCTTCATAGTTTTTCTTAACATGAAGGATAGATTGAATGAACCAAGAATTTTAGAGTTGCCATCAAACGCACTTAATGCAAAAACCAGATGTTGTTTCCCTTAAAGATGCTTTGAAAAACCTACTGGTAGGAGGTAATAGATCTTCCTCTTTGGAGACCTTCCTATGTAAATCAAGTCTTCTACTTCTAGTCTTTGTACATCACCTATTTTTTTGGCATGCCCCATTTTTCTAGACCTAATATTCTGGGCAGTTAGTAGTTTCTTGATGCAAGGGGCTTGTTTCTGTTGTTATGTAAGGGTAGAGGATGGAAGGAAAAAAACTTTTTGTTTCACGTGTTAGTCTTTTAGCATGTGATCTAGTGTTGTCACACTGTTAACAACAAGTTATCATTAATGCGCCTTCAAATTTTCTTCATTATTACTTCAGAGATTGTAGTTTTAAAGATCCCCATACCTTGATATTTTCTCTTTCACTTTTTCCATCAGTTCTACTGCTTGTAAGCCATATTACATGCATGATAACATTACTTTTCAGTTATTGTAGAAAAATGTAATTTATCTGAAACACTAATGACATATTTAAATTGTTAAATGGAACTATAATGATTCATATTTTGCATTTCCTAATTGCCTGCCATGATTCATGGCATGCAATATTGTTTCTTTCACTGCTTTATTTTTATCATTTAGGGTTTCTTGGTTTACATGCAATGCAAAAAAAAAAAAAAAAAAAGAGGTTTGAATTCGAAGAAATGAGACCATTTCATCTTTTGGGTTGACAAAGTTGAAAGTAAATTTTGCCCTAGAAAGAGATGTATAGGATACTAGTCATTTGATCCAGTTTCATATTCTTTGAAGTCTCTGATAGAATTGTTTAAATGTAGCATTCTTGTCAAATCCTAACCCTGGCACGTACATGTGTTTAAATACACAATATAATGTATTCTACAATTTACTGTAATTCACATTAAATAATATACATGATATTAATAATTAGTAATGCATAAATATATATCTATATATAGATGCTCTCTTGCACATACCCAAGTATGTTGGGGCAATTTAATTAAGATTATTGAAAGCTTCCACTTTCCCTACAACCTCACAACTTTGGATGGAAGTATCACTTAGCTAAAATAAAGAAAAGCAGTTTTCATTGAACCGGATGCCCTCTTTTATGTATCTTGAAGTGGGATATGTAATATGCCTTCTTAAATATAAAAAATGAGCAAAGAAGTAGTAGATTTCAGCAAACCAACATATTTTTAATGATAAGAAAAGGAATACAAACAAGCAAGATATAATGATAATCTTTTGAGAGGAGGACATTCTCTCTCAAATCCTAGGCGCCGCTAGAATCTTTCACAAAAACAGTGGACAACAAACACTCACAAAACTCATCAATAGTATGAACTTAAAATCCTAGACAACTCCCCCTTAAATAGCCCTAGAACACAATAACACAATTAGAATCTTCATAATCAGCATAAACATAATTTAAGAAACCTTTTTAAATAAATAGAACCTTCCTAATCAACATAAACATGATTTAGGAAACTTTCATACACAATTAAACATATTTTATGAAACCTTCCTAAACAATTAAATAATTGCTAAATTGTATAAACACAATTAGGAAACTTTTCTAAACAACTACCCCCCTTGATTAGGAACATTCCTAAATAATTTTCCTTAATTAGGAACTTTCCTAAATATCTTCCCCTGGGCCCCACAAGGTGGGCCCCCTTGGCGTATCAATACTCCCCTCCCAAAGAGCCACATTATCCTCAAGGTGTAGTGAAGGGAACTGTCTCCCGATCATCTGTTTTAACAACAAAATTTGCTTCTTGTGAGAACCACTTAGCACATGATCCAGTTCTATATCCTTCATTATTTGCTCATGCTTCACTCTAGAAAATATACCATCTTTCAATAGTTTAACATCTTTGCCAATGCCTTCACTTTTTATCCACTTGCTCTAGTCATCCTAGTCATCAACTAATTTTTTCCACTCAAAGCCAGAAAGGTTAACAAGAAATAGTGCAAAAAACCAAGTGGCAATAAGGAACTACATGGATGCAGTGAAAAGCATAAAGGTTGTTGAATCAGTTGTTGTAGATCCATAGATCTGATAAACAATTAGCGGCAATCTAAGTTCCAGACCCATTGTAAAATGACTTCTAGAGTACATTCTGTAGTTCTCTGCAAACTATACATGTCGCTCAACGAATCCTCGTCCACTAGCTCTATATTTTGCTCCGTCATGTAGGATTGTCTGTCCAAATGGTATTTTGTTCCGAGCAAGAATGTAAAGAACACTAAGCACAATTGAAGTTAAATGATGATTATGTCGTCCAATGCTATTATGAATTCCCTTTTTCAGCTCAATCTCCATGATCATGGGTAAGGCCATCAATATACCAAGTTGGATGGCAGATTGAGATGCCATAGCAGCCTTCAGAGAATTATTTCCTCTCATCAATGCTTGCTTCATAATGTTAGCCTCAAGCCCACTTAATGACAGGTAAGGCTTTCCACAGAGGAGGTGGACTATGATAACAATCATCATTGAATTGACTTAGAACCCTACAATCGTGAAGTAGTAAGAAAGCATGTAGAAGAAGTCAAATTGGTGGCTCAAGAGATAGATATCTCTGCTAAGTATTTGTTCTCCATTTCTACAAGCAACCTTTGCTTCAAATAAGGAGATTTGGTTGAGTCCAACTTCATGACCCCTCCCAACCTGAATATACTCATGATGAGTGATATTTTCTTACCTTAGTGTCGAATTGAATCATGCAAAGATATCCTCAATTAGGTTGATTACACGAGCAACCTTGCTTATGCCACCTCTAATGATGTGAAAATTCATGCAAGATACATCTGGATGCCCGTATTGGGAGCGGACCTGCAGTGGAGTAGCCAGAACCCATTGTCCAATTGTCATAAAACTTGTTTCTTGATTTTACACGAACAATCCCAAAGATGAATTACTTCCTCTAAAAATGTGCTCATGTACACCAAGAATGGTTGGTGGGCGTAGTCCATGGTCTTCACTGAATTCCTCCAAAAGATTCCTCATTTTCCAAGCCTCATCCAAATAATTATCCTGGTTCATATCAATTGCCTGAAGAGCATCCCCTATGGTAAAGACAACTATATGATTTTGATTTTCTCGCTCACCTTCATTAATCCTTGATGCTCCAAGTAATTTGATGTGGTAGATTTCCTGATCAGTACCATCAGCTTGGCTTTGCAAGTCTATTTCTTTGCCCTCTTTATTCACATTTTTCTCTTTGTCGATCAGTTTATCCTTGAAAGAACTTGTGTATCACTCATTGAACTCTCACTCTTCTTCTCTTCAATTATGCGCTTTTTTAACTTTCCCACCCTATGATTGACACCAACCCCAATAACTTCCTCCTCCTTCAGTGTAGTGGTTGTCATGATCCTTCCATATTTCTCCCATTTATCGAGGGTGGAACTCCCACTTTTCTTCCGTCCACCTCACCTGACCCCATCCCCATGGCTCGGCCCGTCCCTCTCCTTCTCTGATTGTCCACTCCCCTTGCCAAAAACGCCTTCCATAGTGGTCGACCACTCCACCACCTCCACAACAAAACTCCCTTCTTGCTATCCCCCCATCCGAAAACCCTATTTTCCCCCTTCTCGGAGCCCCAGAAGGTGGCTCTTTTCATTGAAATCTTTCCGTCCGATCTCTGTCCCTTTAAATTCGGCCAAGGGAATCTGAAACAAATTTTGATTAGGGTTAACAATTGGAACTTTCGGTGGGGTTTTGAATTGCATCTCCATGAGCTTTCTCATCATCTCCTCTATAATTTCCTTTCCCTTTGGTTCAACCGTAGGAATCTCTAGTGAAGTTTTCAACTGCATATCGATTATTTACTTCATCATATCTTTCAAATTCCCGAACCTTCAATACATTCCTTCATCGATCCCACATCCGCTCGTAGTTTCCCTACTCCCCCTTCCAACTTTTCTTCCAATGCCTCAACTCTTCTTCCGGCCATCGATACTCGGATCAATGATTTAATAGCAAAAAATCAGCCACTTCGACGCGAATATGGCCTCCAAGCAACAAAATTCAGCAAACGGAGAGGAAAAACATAGCAGAAATCAGCGAGGAAAGCTAATATTTCGGTCCAGGACATCGCTCTTATACTAATTTAATACGCCTTGAATATAAAAAATCAACGAATAGGCAGTAAATTTTAGCAAACTAACAAATTTTTATTGATAAGAAAAGAAATACAAACAAGCAAGATACAATAGTTCTCTTTCGAGAGGAGGACCTTCTCTCCCAAGTTCTAGATGCCGCTAGAATATCTCACAAAATAGTGGACAACACATACTCACAAAACTCATCAATAATAAGAACCTAAAACCCTAGGCAACTTCCCCTTAAATAGCCCTAGAACACAATGATACAATTAGAACATTCCTAATTAGCATAAATATAATTTAAGAAATCTTTCTAAATAAATAGAACTTTCATACAACAACAACAATAAGCCTTTATCCCACTACGTGAGGTCGGCTACATGAATCCTTTTTCTCCATTGTGTCCTATTAAAAGTCAAATTCTCGTTTAAATCTAATAAAGAAAGGTCATTCCTAATATTTTCTAGCCAAGTCTTTTTAGGCCAAACCTTTAGCCTCTAAGGTTGACCTCCATAATTCAAGTTTACCTCCAATTCCCTCTCTAGTCTTATCAACAAGAAGAATATCATCAGCAAAAAGCATACACCAAGGTACATCCTCTTGCAAATGTCTAGTGAGGACATCCATGACTAAAGCAAAAAGATATGGGCTTAAGGCTGATCCTTGATGTAACCCAACCGAAATAGGGAAATACTTGGTCCGAAATAGGAAACCTTCGTAAATAATTAAATATGATTTAAGAAACATTCTTAAACAATTAAATATGATTTAAAAATTTTTTCTAAACAATTAAACATATTTTAGGAAACCTTCCTAAACAATTAAATACTTCCTAAATAGTATAAACACAATTAGGAAACTTCTCTAAACAACTCCCCCCTTGATTAGGAACATCCATAAATAATTTTTCTTAATTAGGAACTTTCCTAAATATCTTCCCTTGGGCCCCACTAGGTGGGTCCCCTTGGCGTATCAATATGTCCTCTTGCTCTCATTTACCTATCAGCCCCTCAACCGCACTATGATAAGTTCCCCTTGAATGAAACTCTCTGCATGATTTCTTAAAACTTATTTTCCTAGTTGTTACCCACGAGTGTTTATGTTGTTGTATTGTTGAAGAAATTTTCTTGATATATTGATATGGTTTTTTTTCCTGTAGCCTTAAATTTTCATTTTTCTTGTCAAAAATTCCAAATTTTCTTTGTTTCAGGCTAAAGTTGTCAGCGAATTAAAATCTGAGATTGAAAGATTACAGGAAGAAGTCAAGGATCAATTGGTTAGTTATTTGCTGCCTTTTGATTTTAAAATACTTTTCTATTTTCTTTCTTAAAAAGTATAATGGATGCCTGCTGAGGTTGTCAGGGATAGTCTAGCCCCATGACAAGTTAATATAGTGCCTATCGCTCTAGTCTTGAAGCATGCTTCTTAATATTATTTATGAATGGGCCTGTTCTGAAGGCTAATATTTGACATTGATTTGGGAAGCATACATATTTTTTTCACCAAATGCATATCATTCTAGACTACCAGCTTGAGGAAGTGCGTGCCATATTATATTTGAGTTCTCCAATATTGACCACTGGATAAATTATTCCATTGTTTAAATCTCTATTCAAAGTTCGAATGAAAATTATTTTATATTTTTTCAGCATAACTTTCAGTCAACTATCAGCCTGCTAAATTGTTTGTTCGTTTGTTCATTTCTCCTTTTGAGATCGATTTCCAAAACCCTTGGCCCAGCACTTTGGAATTCAGAAATTGATAGTTTCTCCTACTATAGATACCTGTTTTTTTGTGTGTAGCATCATCTGTGATGCTAGTTCATTCATTTGTGGATTATGGTCTTCTTAACAATAATTGATGTAGTAATTCATGGCCTAGTATTGTCGTGAAGGCATTCATTAGAATCGACTGTACTCTTTTTTTGCACACTGATAAAAGAAAGAGGAAGAAACCCTATTGTTCAACTTCCAAACATCTTGTTTCAACATGTGGGTTCTGTTTGACCAAGTTGTCTCTTATAGTTCCATAATACTGTTGCTTGATCTAGATTTTTAGTTTTGGCTGTATCAACAATTACCAATCACTTCTGCAATGTGAGAACAAACAAAAAATTTAAAATAATGAAGAAGGTGATATAAATGAAGGAAAATGGGGGAAATCAGATCTACAAGGTTTTAAGTCCCATTTCTTTCCTTAAAGCTCGCCATTTGAACATTTTTCACACCATGCATAAATAATGTTTTCTCATAAGAGTTTTTACATTAGAATCATTAAAAAAAAGAAAAAAAGAAAAAAACAAACCTACCTTTAGCCTAAGATTACGTTCTAATGGCTTCCTAAAAAATCTTAAATCTTGGTAGAAGACCTATATAGGATTGGACTGACTAAACTTGACCCATCGTATGTTTAAGGTATGTTCTATGTAATGCACTATACATAATACATATCTAGATATTTGGTATTTTTAAGGTCCGAGGTCATATTTTATTGAGCATCAGATGTTGACATAGAGGAAATCATTTCCTATTGCATGGTACCTAATTTTTTTGCTTACCATGTAGGAATGTACTGTTACTTTCATTTAGAACATATTTTCCATGCAGATAAAAAAAATTGTTCAAATATTTTAAACTAAACATAAAAACTATCCTCATTATGTCAAATTTAGATAAAATGGCTATGCAAAATAGGATTGTATTACTTTTGCATTGGTTGTAGAGCTGGATCTTTGTATCAAGTTTCTTCCGCTTTGAAAAATTCATCTCCAATGAATATCACTTTCGGTTCTCCTTGAGCATTTCTTGGTTGAGGTGTTGAAAATTTTCTGTCGGAAACCAACTGTTGAAGAAGGTTTGCCGCCTCTACATTACATGATGTTTTTAACTCCTGCATAATGTGTTGATAAATCTGCTACTCCAGGATATCCTTGTGCTATTACTATTGTTACCAATCATCGGTAGATCTGCTTCATGGGCATCCAACCCAATTCACTGGTGCAAGCCTGTCTTGATCAATGTTTGGTCCACAAAAGGTTGCAACCCATTGCAATGGTTTAATCTATACCAATGTTATCTTCTACCACCCATCATGTAATTTCTAATTAAGGACGTCAACCATGATGATTTGCAAATAGAAAGATTAAGAATTTCTTGATTTATTATTCTTCTCGTTTAAAACAGGTACTAAATTCACGTGTATACACCAAAAAATCTAATAAAAGAAATAATTAACTTGCTTAATTCTATCCTCAAATTTAGGAAACATATTCATAGGAAAATAATTCAGTTCTAAAATTAGGAAATAGAATTATAGGAGATGATCACAATTGATCTCTCCTTTTATTTCTAAAATAAAATTGCTAATTAGAAAACAAAATAATCGGAAAAGATCACAATCTATCTCTCAATTCATTTCTAAAAATACATTCTTAAAATAGATTCCCTAATTTTGACTTTCAAATATTCAATACTCCCCCTCAAGCTGGAGAATATATATCATATAATCCAAGCTTGCAAATTAAGTCTTCAAAGTTAGGTCTGTGTAAAGCTTTTGTGAGGATGTCTATAGTTTGTTGATTGATAGGGATTTATTTCAATTTAACAGTCTCACTAGTCACCTTCTTTGTGATGACGTGTCAATTTGATAGTCTAACTAGTCACACATCATCAGAATAGGAAATGAACTCATTTGTCCCAGTTCCTTAAGAACCCTTTTTATCCAAATCCCTTCACTAGTTAGTGCTTTATACTTAGCTTCTGCACTATTTCTGGCTACAACTGATTGCTTCTTACGCCACTAGGTAGGGGGTATCAAAATGGGTATTCGGGTCAGGTTTAGGTCAAACTTGAAATTGACCTAGGTCCAAATGGGTTGACTCTAACCTGACCCGATTTTGTAAATGAATTGAAACTTCAGACCCGGACTAGACCCGCTGGGTTACTGGGTCGAAGGTCGTGTGAGGACGTGCAGGCACGTGTGGGCGAAGGGGTTGCGAGCGAGCGAGCTAGGGTGAGGGAGCTGAGGAGCGGGCTCGGATCCAACCATCCGAGTGCAGGCGCGTAATGCGAACGCGGCACTTTGCATTCCTTTTTCATCCTACCAAAAATCAATATTTCTAAAAGCTCTGTGATAGGAAATACTTGATTTCAAGTATTTCCAAATAACTTCTATAGCAAAACTTGATGCAAACTGCTGTTCTCAACAGGAAAAACAGCAAAACAGTGGAAAATCTGGAGAAATCTGAGAGAAACGTGATAGAAAACGTAGGAAAACAATGGCAAACACTTGTATTCCACTAGTAGTTGCAAACAACAAGCAAGATACAATTTTACTTCAATTCGAGAGGAAGGAAAAACTCTTCACGATCTCCGGCAAAGCCAAGACAAACCCTAGATCTCAAGAAGAAAACTTTCAAATTCAAGATGAGAGCCAATTCTCATCATAACTCCCAATTAAAGCAAAAGGAAAGATACAAATTACATAAACACCCTCCTCATTCAAATATTCCCTCCAACGAAACGCTCCAACCTCGCCTAGCCCGCTTTGGGTTCCACAGTTTTTGCGACTGGGTTCCGCCCTGCTTTGGACCGCCGGGTGTAGAACCGGACCGGTCCAGCTGGGACCGGTCCAAGCGTAACATTACTTCCCTCCCAAAGATTCACCTTGTCCTCAAGGTGAAAGTACGGAAACTGTTGTTTCATCATCTCATAGACTCCCAAGTGGCCTCGTAGTCGGGGAGATCCTTCCATTTGATCAACACCTCTTTGTTTCCTTTTTTATCCAGCCTTACCCCTTCTAGCTCCACGGGTTCCATAACCACTTCCAAATCCTCTGTCAGTGATGCTGACAATTCCACACTAGCTGCATGCTCTCCTCAGCTGTGACACGTGAAACACCGGGTGTATGGTAGCGGAGGATGGTAATTTCAGACGATATGTCACTGCTCCAATCTTTCCCAAGATCTCATAGGATCCGAAGTACCTTGGGGCCAATTTCTCATTCCTCCTGTTAGCCACCGACTTTTGCTTGTAGGGCCTTAGCTTCAAGTACACCTTCTCCCCTACTTCATATTGTATGTCCCTCCTGTGTGTATATGCTCTCTTCTTCATGATTTGTTGTGCTCTTCCCAAATGTTTCTTCAACTCCTCTAGCACAAGGTCTCTTTCCTCTAGGTATTGCTCCACTGAAGAATTAGGTGTACTTCCTCTCCCATAGTGCACTAGGTGTGGGGGGTCCCTCCCATACAACACTTTGAACGGTGTCATCTGAGAAGCAGAATGGTGCGAGATGTTGTACCAGTACTCCGCCCATGGTAACCATTGTGCCCACTTCCGTGGTGTTTCTGAAGCAAAGCACCTCAAATATGTCTCTAAGCTCC